ACAGAAAAAAAAAAAAAAAAAAAAATTGAGGCCAGGCATGAAATAAATGGGTTATAGCCATAAGGTTGAAGGAATTTTACCTGCCATCAGCTGAGATGAAATAAAGAAGCAAACACAAAACTGTCCTCATGTGTATACCTCACCTTATTCCCTCTAGAAAAAGTCAAAAGTTCTGGTCTTCTTAGAGCTGGCTATTCTCTGTTGATAGATTTGACCAAGACTGCACAGTGTTCATCAAGAAAAGGAAAGCATTAGGATCAACTTTTGATAAATAGACTTAAACAGCAAAGCATAGTTGAACAGATATGGGCTCTATCTTGACTTTGTCACTTCCCAGCCATGCAACCTTGGGCAATTTCTTAACAGTTCCCCCATGTCAATAACTTGGAAATAAAACTCATAAGACTGCTCTGAGGGGCTGGAGATGTGGCTCAAGCGGTAGCGTGCTCGTCTGGCATGCGTGCGGCCCGGGTTCGATCCTCAGCACCACATACAAACAAAGATGTTGTGTCTGCCAAAAACTAAAAAATAAATAAATAAATATTAAAAAAAAAAAAAAAAAAAAAAAAAGACTGCTCTGAGGACTACATTAGAATAATGTATATTAGGCAGATGACAACATCTGCCATAAGCATTTGCTTCTCCATTACAACTCTGTGATGGGCATAACCCTACCCCCTCCTTGATGATCTGAAATAGTGACGATCCCTTCCAGTAAAGGGCAAAAATCAGACTTGGGCTTTTCCCAATACTGTGTCAATAGAATTAATCTGGGAAACTCTGCACATCACATTGTCCTTGTGAAATTCATAATGCACATTAGTATATTTAAAAGCCAGAAAATTCTTATATTAAAAAAATATTTGATTTTATTAAATTTATTTGACCCTTTGTTTTTCAAAATAACTACTCTACTTTGCACTTTGAAAAACACTACTCCAGCAAACAAGCCTATTAAAATTTCTGGTGGGGTGGGTGGGAATCGAAATACTCCAAAATGTTTCATCCCTTTGCTAGTTACAAAAAAAACCTTTCAAAAAAAACCCTCAGGGCTGAGTTGTAGCTCAGTGGTAGAGTACATGGTTAACATGCAAGAAGCCTGGGTTCAATTCCCAGCACATATATACATACATACACACACACCCCTGTAAGAATATTATGTTTTGTGCCACAGATGTGTTTTAAAGACCCATAAAATGAATATTTTGTTATCAGATCCTTTTACATTGTTTAAAATTGTTGAGGCCACAAAGATGAGGATTATGAAATGGCACAAGAAACTATTGGAGTGACAGATGTGTTCATTATCTTAGTGGTGATGGACAGCATGACAGTTAAAATTTTACATGTCACTTGGTTAGAGTGCAGCATAGAGCTGCTTGGCAAAATGCTAGCCTAGATATTGCTACAAAGGTATTTTGTAAATGTGAGTCTCATCTACAAACTAGATGTGACTTGTTTGTGCCTAGTGTGTGCTATGTGATCAACAACCAATAAAACCCTGGGGTCTGAGTCTCTGATAGCTCAGATGATTTCAGGGTAATAACCACTGATAATATGAATGAACCTCATCCAATCAGTTTACAACTTTAAGAACAAAAACTGAGGTTTCCTAAAGAAGAAACGAAACTGTCTCATGCCTGGTAACATCTCACAGCTGGACAGCATCCTGCCCTGGTCTCCTAAATATCTTGCCAGTTTACCTTAGAGATTTCAAACTCAGAACTACATTAATTCCTGAGTTTCTAGCCTGCTGGCCTGCCCTATAAATTTCAAGTCTTACAATGCTATGAGCTAATCCTTAAAATAATCTCTTACTACATACATATATCCTATTGGTTCTATTTCTCTGAAAAACTCTGACAAAAATGAATTCACAAGTATATACCTATGTCAAAAGTTATTAAATTGCAGGCTTTATATAGGTGCAATTTATTGTATGTCAGTTTTACATTAGTAAAGCTCTAAAATATAACACTGAAAATTTCAGTGTTTTCATTTATGAATTATCTGTCAATATCTACTGAATTAGAAATTAGCTCCAAGAATTTTTTTAAATATATAATAATATAGTAACATGTATTAAAATAATTAGTGTATATATTTTTAATTTTAAAAAGAGTTTTATTTTCCCAAACAAAAAATAATAGTGAGAAGAGTGTTACTTTTCACATTTGTGCAAAACTCTTAAAAGAAGACAACTAGATTCTCTTATCTCATTCAGTATTCAATATGTTGTGAGATTTTTGGGTTGAAATATATGAAGAGAATCTGGCCTCAATCAGATATACACTTGGAAAAGGGAGTTGTATTTTAATAGTCCTTTCAGCCAATTCTTCTTTGATAACACACCCAAACCTGACAAGTTGTGATTTCTTAAGATCAGCTGTAATGTGGAATCTAAAGCCACATCAAAAAACTTTTAGACACTGTTTCATTAAACCCTTTGATCTTTTACACATAAATTACTTTGTCATATCACATATTGATCTTCAAAAAATATTGATTCATAGAGTATACAGATCTTCCAAAATACTGACATATTTCATTATACATATAAAAAAATCACATTAGTGACTATCATGAATAACATACTCAAAAAAACTCTTTAAATACTGGCAAGTTTAAGCTCATGAACAAAATTTTTCAAAACTTTAATTTTTCTCGAAAGCTGAAATTTTGTCATTGCCGTCAGTACGGTGGCACATGCCTGTAATCCCAGCAACTTAGGAGGCTGAGGCAGGAGGATCATGACTTCAAAGCCAGCCTCAGCAACTTAGTAATGCGATAAGCAACTCAGCAAGAACCTGTTTCTAAATAAAAATATTTTTAAAATGGCTAGGGGTGTGGCTTAGTGCCCTCGAGTTCAATCCCCAGTACAAAAAAAAATTTGTCACTGCCAACACCGCCAAGAGTTTCTCCTAAAATAGGTTCACTTCATTAATTGTCAAGGAAATATCCATCAAATACCTAAGTCTGAATAACCACAATTTTTCTGTCAATTATTAGTTCAAAAATAAAAAATGCTGTTACATATGAAAAATGGCTTCTTAAAAAGAAAAATATCATTTGATTATTACAAAGTGAACGTTGCTATGCATAATGATACTGTTACTTATTTGTAGAGAGTCTACTATGTGCCCATTTTTATCATCTTTATAGAAATTTTTATTATATATATTATCCTTTTATAAAAATTTCAAAATAAATCCCATTTGGATGTTTTTAAAAAATGGCTTCTTTACTTCACAAATGCTTTTTCTCAAGATGACCATGCTTTGGTACACAGGAGTGTATGCATACCTCCCATTTTGTCCTTCAATCGTAAATAGACATGTACCAAAAGGTCAAATTTTTTTACTAAATTTTATTGTTTCTACTGCATCATAAAGAACCATACATGGACCTGGAATTTTTTACTTTCTTGTTGCAAGAGCATGGCCAGAAAGAATGCAGTGACAGTCAGTAAAGATTGAGGCCACCGCCTTGTTTTGCACTACAACATCAGCAATTCTTGTCAAACACTATTTCTGAATCATCAGTACAAATGTCAATGGTATAAAAGGGGATAATAATATTTTATAATAACACAGTAAGATAATAACATCTTAGTATTACTATACAAATAGTTTTGATTTCATAGACCCCCTGCAAGTCTCAAAGACCCCCAGAGGCCAACCAATCAGAACTACTGCTTTAAATAAACACTCTCAGGTGCTGGAAGGACAATGGAAACATCAACAATTCCACAGTTTGTATATAGTAAAAGTAATTTTGATCAGAAACAAGGGGCTAAGGAACTTATCTCAAAGCTGCATTTGCACAGCAAGTTTCTGAGTTTTAGGGGCTGAGGTTGTGGCTCAGTGATAGAGCACTTGGGGGTCCTGGGTTCAAATCTCAGCACTGCATATAAATAAAGGTCTATTGACAACTTAAAAAAAAAAAAAAAAAAAAAAAAAGAAATACAAAAAGAATTAAAAAAAAAAAAAAGTTTCTGAGTTTTGTTGTTTTTTCATTTTATGTGGTGTTGCAGCTGTTGAAACCAAGAGCCTCCTGCATACTAGGCAAGCAATTTACCACCAAGCTATACCCAGAGCCCTGTCAAGTTTATTTTCACTTATATGTCTATTAGAAGAGATAAGTTTATATCTACCTGGACAATTATCAGTGAAATTTTATGTATTATTTGGATTATGGAAATAATTACAGTTATTTAAGATTTATCATGGATGTTCTACATAATATGAGCTCTTTATACAGTGGATTTACAATCAAATTTCTAAAAACTGATAAGGCTAAGTGTGGTAACCCATGCCTATAAAGCCAGCACCTTGGGAGGCTGAGACAGGAAGATTGCAAGTTGGAGGCCCACCTCAGCAACTTAGTGAGACCTTGTCCCAAATAAAAACTTAAAAGGGCTGAGTGTGTAGCTTAGGAGTAGCAAAAAAACAAGCCAAAAAAAAAAAAAAAAAACCCTTAAAATGTGATATTTAACATTTTCTTTCCTCTAAAATTAAGTAAAAACAGTGGCTAAATTTTTAAATGGTCCACTTTCAGTTTAACCACTGCTAAATAATGAAGGACAGAGATTTGATTTATAATAGCAGAAAATTTTAATTCAAGTGACATCTTACATGTACAATATTAGGAGAAATGTTTATTATAATCATCAGACCTTCTGATTTTATCATTATGCCCTTGAATTATACTCTGGAGGAGAATAATACAGATGTTCAAAATGTACTAACAACTATTTTCAACAAGAAATATTATCCTTTGATAAATTTAAGAAGATTGTTCCCCCCACCCACCAAAAAAATGTTGTCCATGTAAAATAAAGCAGAATACACGTTAGTATTTATGGAATAAGCCATTTTTAAGCTGTAGTTAAACTCTACTTATTGAGTCATATGTCCTAGTAACTCATGTGATAAAATTACAACTCAAGTCATACAATTTAAATTTTATAAAACCAAAATGATAAAAGGAAATCAACTTACTCGATCAGCTAATCCTCCAGGAACTATGGTCCTCACAACTACGCCACATGACTTTCCTCCAACTATTCCAAATCCTAATCCAGAGCCATCGTTAATGAGTTCAACATCCTCAATATGGCCCCAACAAACCTATGAATTAAAGGCAAGTAAGAACCACAATACTGGTACAACACACAGATCTTCACTTTCCAATACAGTCACTACTAAAATGATAGATTTACAAGAAAATGAATATTCATACACTTAATTAAGGCAGCAATCCAGAGGCTAAACTTTATAGGCCCTGATAAGGATCTTATACCCAGGAGAGAAAAAGCTAAAACACAATTAAAATGCAAGGCAGAATATTAGACAAAACATTGTAGCTCTAAGAGGACAAGAAACATTCCCCAGTCTATGACCAAATCTAGCAGAAGGCCTGGCTTGTATAGGAACCAATAAATATGTGATTGCTTCAATTGAAAGTCACAGGGCTGGGGATTTGGCTCCATAGAAGTGTATTGGTAGTAGTGTGTTCACCTAGCAGGCACAAAGAGCATCAGGGAAGAAAAAAAAAAACCCTTAACTTGAATTGGAAGTCACAAAATGTTAGGAAGACTTCAGAGGTTTGGGGGAGAGAAGAGTCATAAGAAATGGCTGGGGTGTGGCTCAGTGGTAGAGCGTTCTAGCATGTGTAAGGCACTGTGTTCGATCCTCAGCACCACATAAAATAAAGGTATTGTGTCCACCTACAACTGAAAAATAAATATTAAAAAAAAAAAACATAAACTGCACTACAAAGAAGGAAGACAAGAACAAATTTGGACCAGGTAGTAGAATGGGTCAAAGATACAGTCAATAGATTGAGTTAACTGGGAAGACAAATGGGAATTCAAGGTTTTAGAAAATGGAATGACAAGGAGAAGGCAGTGGCTTGTGAAAATTAATCTGGCAGCAATGTAAAGAATGAAATGGTAAGAACATGATGAGGTAAAGAGACAAATTTAGGAGGCATTAATGAGGGAAAAGAAAGGCAGACCCAACTGAAGATATTGTTAATAGAATCATACAAATCAGACAAGAAGAAATAAGCACTTTTCCTCTGACTAGCAGGTTTCCATGAGAAATGTGCATTAAATTCATATAATCCAACAGCAGAACAATGTCTCCCTCTCAAGATCATGAGGGCATAATCATTATTTAGTTCTTCTATTACATAAAATTGGAAAACTACTATGCAATGTTAAAATAAACAGGAATATAGGGAATATTTAATAAGCTCATGTCTGGAACAATGCCTAGTAACTAGGAAGCATGTTTGTTAAAATCAGAACCCTGGCTGGGGGCTAGGGTTGTGGTTCAGTGGTAGAGTGCTTGCCTCACATGTGTGAGGCACCGGGTTCAATTCTCAGCACCACCTATAAATAAATGGATAAAATAAAGGTCCATCACCAACTAAAAGAATTAAAAAAAAAAAAAAAAAAGTAGAAGAAACCTTGCTAGGCACAGTGGCACCCACCTGTAATCCCAGCGGCTCTGGAGGCTGAGGCAGGAGGATCATGAGTTCAAAGCCAGCCTTAGCAATTTAGTGAGGCCCTAAGCAACTCAGTGAGACCCTGTCTCTAAATAAAATACAAAAAGGGCTGGGGGTGTGGTTCAGTGGTTAAGCACCCCTGTTCAATCCCTGGTGCTCCTCCACCCCCCAAAAAAGAAGCCTGAATCAATGACAGCAGCTACTGCTCACAGAGTGTTAACTGGCACCAGACCTACGCTTGGCTCTTCACACACCTCTTTCAATCTTTACAACTATTACTAGTTTTAAGTAACAGAGAGACTGAGGTGTGGAGAAGTCAAGGACCTGCTGGTGTCACACAACTAGGAGAGGAAGAAATGGACTTGAACTCACCAATGCATGACTCCAACACCCTTATTCTTTATATGCTAGACAATGTCCCACTTTGTCCATTGTAGTTATTATGTAAATTGTGCTGTATAAATATTACAGAGTGTAACAGGAAAAATGCCTATACTTTAATTTGTGTTGTGACCTTGTAATGTACCAGACAGTTTTTTTTCTTTTGTCCCGAGGAATGAAAATTATATAAATCAGCTAGCACTTAGTGTTATAAGAAAATAAGATTTATTAGCAGGCATTCTGAAGACGCTGGCCAAAATCTGGTAAATGTTACAAAGCAGCTTTAAGAATTCCTAAAACAGACATACTTTTCTTCTTCCAAACTGTGAAGTATATATCCTTACATGAAAAAAAAAAAACCTACTATAATTTTGTAGCATCAATAACCTACCCATAAACTCCCATTATAATTCATAAAAGTAATGTTTTTGAAATGTTAACTTTCTATAAAGTTAACTTTCTATAAAGGAACATAAGACACCACCACCAAATAAACTACACCTAACACTCAATTTGACCCCTATATTAAATAATAATCTTAAATTAAAAGTCCCACAGGACATTGAAAAGACTAAATAAATAGCCCTTCATGAAACATCTTGTTTAAATATGATGCACTTGGAGATATGATCATCCCTCTTGACCCATGACAAGTAAATGACACCTGAATATATACTTCTTATCACCAATAGCATAATTCAAAATTATTTTCCCAAGTTTGCAACTCACTGTTTCAGGCAGAGTTGTATCAGCTGAGCTGGTAGAAGTCCTGCTTTTTGTGTGGACTGGTTCCCTGGCTACAACCAGATGCAAAGATCCACCCGTTTGTTGTAATAATGCAATTGCTTGCTGGTGAGAAATATTGTGATCCAGTGGTGTGTAATTAATGGCCAAAATCTGGTCATTTTCCTTTAATCTTTGATCCCTTAATCATATAAGAAAAGAAGGTTATGTTTAAAGTGATCTAATAACTTGACTTTTAAATATCTGTTATTTAAGTTCAGCAATTTATTGCTTATGGTACTATTTCACTCAATACATTTACCTGAATAATTATGTAGATACATAACAGAGCTCAGAGTGCCTTTTCATAACACTTAATAACTAATGTACTAATTAGCTAGTGCATCCCTATATACACACTTACACACACACATTTTAAAAGTCAGTTGGTTAGAAAAATAAACCAAAACACTTTAGAAGGCCCTACTGCCAAGGGTTAGCAAGTGTGAATACTGCATGAACCCTGTACTGTTGGAAGCTTTCCAATCTGATTTCTATCCATACTATACTAGGATAACCATTTTCTGAACTTCACCAAGAGCCTCCTCGCTAGCAGGTTCACCCCATCTCCATTTTCTTTACTTCTTTATCACTTACTTGTCAGTAGAGGCCAAATACTCCTTGAAAACCCATGGCGATTACTTCCAAACCTATATCTAATCCCTTTTCTCCCAAACCAATCTCCCAACTGCTAACAAAGGTTAAAAGGACAACTAAAAAAATAAATAAATAAATAAAATAACAATCTCTAAAGAAAAAAAAAAGCACTACTATAATTAAAATTGACTGAGCCCTTAGGAGTCAGGTACTGTGTTAAGCGCTTTACGTGCATTATTATCTCGTGTAATCCTCACAATCACCTTTAAAGTAGTTAAGTTTTATGTACAAAAACTTAAAGCTCAGACTACCTTAACACCTTATCTGAAGAGTCTGACTCTGAAGCATAGTCATCACCTGCTATGGTAACATGCATTCCAAGGATAGTCTACAATTTACTGTCCTGGTTTACTGCATTTGACTATTATCTTCCAAGCACCACTGAAATACTATTCCTGCTGGCCGAGCAACAGTACCCTAACACTTCCTTGTCCTTCTTTGTCTCTTTTGGATCCACCCAGCTCCTCCTTTCCATTCCTACTCTCCAGTTGGAATCCTCACCTAACATCTAAAATCTAATTCGCAAGATTCCATCAGATTTACATTTCTAGGCTCTCTGCATGCTGATATCTTTTCCAGTTCAAAAATGTGTAATATTCAGCTATTGCTAACCAATAAAGAAAGCAGCAAAGAAATGAAAACAAACTCCTGTCATGACTGTTTCATAAAGGAACATTTTTACCTCTTAAAATACAGGAAGGGATTTATTTCAGAATAGAATAATCCTTTTCACAAATACAATTTTGAATTATGAAGAGCCCATTATATTGCCCCCGCCTCCTTTTTTCTCTCATTTCATAACAGGTCAGGAAAACCTTGTCATGGACCAGAATATCAAGAATACTGACCTCTAGGACAGAGGGTAAACTTGGCTGGTCTTGAAGGCCTCAATGTTCTGCCCCTAAGTACTCTTCCTACTTGGATTCTGTCCACACAAACTATTTCTTCAACTACTCTGACTTATGACTTCTCTCTCAAATGTGTGTGGCATTTCCTGCTCTGGTATAAACTGTTCCCTCCACATCTAATACCTTTCTACTCTACTCAGCCAAATTCAATTCCACCTGTCACCATTCAGTTGAGTCCACAATGTTCTGAACCACTCGTTCACTCACTAAATACTCAGGTAGGTTAAGCATGCTGCCTACAGAGTTAGCTAAGTCCTTCCCTATTGGATTTTAAGTTTCCTGGAGACAGGTACTCATGTTTTGGAGTCTTCCTTGGAAAGAGCAAGTTCAATATCTCAATTTATTTATTTATTTATTTTTGGACAGTAGTGGGGATTGAACACACTGGCACTCTACAACTGAGCTACATCCCTAGTCCTTTTGTTAAATTTTGAGATAGAATCAAGTTGCCAAGGTTGGACTTGAACTTTCAATCCTGTCTCAGCCCTCCCAAGTACCTGGAATTACGGGTAGGTACCCCTATGCCCAGTTAATATTCCAATTTTTGATATTAAAATAGTCTCTCACAATAAATCATGTAGCATTAAAAATGTTGTTTAAAAATCTTTTCAGTATTATTAGGAATGACATAATAAGGTGAGAACAAGATGTAAAAGTGTATATATTCTATGACCTTGTCTTTACAAAAAAGAAAACATTATGGACTGAGGGGTATAGTGCAGTAGATCAAACCCAGTATTCTCACAATGTATGTGAGAATACTGGGTTTGATCCCCAATATTGGGAAAAAAGAAAAGAAAGCATATTTCTCAGTTGTATCAGGATGCTCAAAATTCAAATATTTCAGCATTAGGGTATAAGCTGTTGTACAGCACATATTTAGTATGCACAAGGCCCTGGGTTCAATCTCAGCACATTTCAAAAGAAAGTTTCAAGTATCTTGAGACTTTTATTTTTACTTACTATATTTCCATACTTTATAGTTTTTTATTATATGCATAACAGATTTTCAAAATTTTAGAATATTTTTTGAGAATGCTGCTTGTGAAGCATCTCCCCGGTATTAAAGAAACATTTCTTCTTAAATGTAAATACTACAGGACAATATACAGGAATCATTTCCATTCTTCCATCTCCATATCCCCCTTTCTCTAACTTCTTCAACTAAATTTCTATTCACAGCATGTTCATCCAGGGACTCTCTTAATTAATCCTAAATGAGTGAGATACATTTAAATCTTTTTAGCCCTGATCTAACTCATTTTTCATAAGTCCTTAATTCACCCCTGGATTTTCTATTTTCTAAAAATCAATCTATTTTAATCTACCTTTTCCCCTACCCAATAGACTTCAAGGACACTTCCTTTCTCTCCGAGTTAAAATCCATTCTTTCCAAGATAAAATCTGCTCAGGGAATATAAACTCAATCCAGGATAAATAAGCTACAGAGGAAAATTTGGATTTTTTTTGACACATTCTACTTAATTCCTCCATGCAATTATTTAAACTTATATTTTAGTATATAATTATACTATATATACAATTAAATTCCCCACACTAATTTGTAGTTTATATAATTATACATAATTATACCATATAAACATATATGCAATTTAGCTCCCTCATACTAATTTTTATATACACACACATATTGAATTCACACTTTCCATTCAAGAGGAAACAAGTTCTTGTGTCTCCATCACAACATTCAGAAATAGTGGATTTCCATGACTTTGACAGCCAGCAGGTTAGGCAAGTATCTGTGTGGAAAGTCCTCAGAAGAAAGGAAGTACTGATCAAGATCATGAAGACCCTTTAGCATATCTAGAAGGTCCTGTATGGCTGGCACCTACCTCTCCCTCTGCCCCTTCTGCATCATCTTGTATTATTCTCCTCCAAATAAATAGCAGTCACACTCCAAGCATAGGACCTGTGTTCCATTTCCATCTCTTCATGAGGGTAATGAGCTATTCCATTCCCCAATACATTCTGTTCTCTTCAGACCCTGCTGTCTCTCCAAGTCTCCCATTGCCTCTGAGAAGCCACCTTACTCCTTGCCATTGGTCTAGGTTCTTATCCACTCAAATCATCAACTTCCTCTTTTTGGAAACATTCAATTTGTAATCACAGACCTATTACTAAAAAGTACTGAGACATAATAATTGACTACAAGCAGGTTGGAATAATGTCTCTTTTGTTTAACATTTTATACCCAAAACATAGCATACAATCAAAATTCAATATCTGTTAAAAGCCAGGCATGATGGCACCTACAGTTGAGGATACTCTGCAGGCTGAAGGAAAAGGATCACAAGAGCCCACAAGTTCAAGACCATCCTGAGCAAAAATTTTAAAAAGTTAAATAATGAATAGGCGGATGAAGATATACCTCCCCTGTGCAGGGAAAGCTTCCCGGCACCTCTCTATTTTGCTCATGTCTCACTGCCACCTCTTATTACTACTTCTAATTCCCAACTTTTTCCAGCAGGTGTGTGTAACAGTGCCATATGGAACAATGTCTATTAAAAATACAAACTGCTCCCTCACAGAAAAGCTTCCATTTTGTTTCTTCAAGAAAGCTTAGATGAGCCAGGTGCAGTGGTGCACACCTATAATCCCAGTGGCTCGGGAGGCTGAGGCAGGAGGATCACAAGTTCAAAGCTAGCCTTAGCAACAGCAAGACGCTAAGCAACTCAGTGAGACCCTATATCTAAATAAAATACAAAATAGGGCTGGGGATGTGGCTCAGTAGTTGAGTGCCCCTGAATTCAATCCCTGGTACCAAAAGAAAAAAGAAAAAGAAAATAAAGCTTAGGGGAGGTCTGGAAGTGTGACTCAATGACAGAGAGCATATCCAGCACACGCAAGGCCTTGGGTTCAAAACTGAGCAACAAAAAAGAAAAAAACAGCTTGCGGGGAAAGTACTATGGAGTGTAAAACAAAAAGTAGTTACTAAAGCAGCAGCAAAATAACATACTTAAAATATTTGTTTTTCTTAAATTTGATAAACCATTTTTATAAGTTACTTTAATTTATCATGGAAAAAAATAAATATATGTCTGGGATTTTTCTTTATCCACTGAACAAAAATATGGCGAAAATTTGTTTCCACTGGAAAATTTTCTATATTTATTTAGAAAATTTTATTTATTTATTTATTTGGATTGAACCTGGGGTACATAACCACAGAGCCACATCCTCAGCCTTCTTTTTTGTTTTGTTTTTGGTTTTGTTTTGTTTTGAGACAGGGTCTCAATAAGTTGCTAAGGCTGGCCTCAAACTTACAATCCTCCTGCCTCAACCTCTCAAGTCGCTGGGATTAGAGGTATGCACCACCATGCTGCTAGGCTTTCATTTTAAAGCATTAAACACCAGTTCTTTCCTCATTATCTTCTAGTCAGCAAGATGAGTTGGTAAAAATTTGAGAAGTTCTTTGTAAATGTTTTCTGTATTCCTATACATTACACATTTTCATATCTTCCCTCTCATCTGTGGTCCACACTAGCCATATCATTTGTTATTCAATTTGTTTTATATATTTTTAATGTATTTTGGCAAAGAATACTAAAATCACCAT